GGGCCTGCGTACGACGCTGTCTGAATTGGCCTTACACTTTCATTTAGTATTCCGACGTGGTCGGCACGACACTGGTCGTCCAACAGCATGAGTAGCATGACTGACCACAATTCACTGGAAACAATCGAATCATTTGAAAACAATGGAGTTTCGTTATACAAATTACAGGTGTTGAATGAATGCGTGTTGAAATGTAAATGATACATTTTGAAATGAAATTATGAGTCATTTAGTTTGTACCTGCAGTATTAGGCCTACCCTGTCTTTTAGTTAAGACACTACCAGATTAAAGGTACAATCAAGATTGATATTCTTAATTCTTAATTTGTTTTGTTTGGTATAAATGAGTCAATGAAATACTGTATACTTAAAATTGATTCTTTTACGTTTGTCGATTCCATATTTATAAATGAAGGTCAATGAACATACTCCGTCTTTTTCCAAGGTTAAAAAATAAATTAAAAAATACTTTTGTTTAGAAAACTATGTTTATGTTAAAATGCTAACTTTTCATGATTTGAGAAGAAATTGGGATTGTTATTTATATTATATTATGTGCTGAGTTATAAAAATACACCTTATGTATGAGCTACTTACATAATTAAAAATAAAAAACGGAAGTTAAAAAAAAATTGAAATTAACGGTCATATTTAACATTGAATAAAGTCGAACCGAAAAGTAGATAGAAACGAGAAAAAACGTTTGACATTTGTGTATCGACTTGTTTATAAGTAAAAATGAAAGTAATTTTGACAAATGCAGGGACTGAATGAGTCATTCCTTTTTGTTTTAAAATAGTTCCATGAGAATGAATTTGAAAGTAGAAATGACAGGATATTTGTAACAATCCTTTTTAGTGGTGCCATTTTCACTTTGTACGTTGCAGAGGCCAAACCAGGCAGCATAGCTGCTGCGGTTGATGTTAGTATCTTCAGTGAAAACAGGAATTTATACTTAGAAATATAGGTCAGAAATCTACTTATTAATTAGCCACTTTACTGTAATGATGGGTGCACACCGAGATCTCAAAAAGTCAATAGAAATAAATATGTATTATTAGGGTCACATTGATCATCCAGTCCCCTCTAGTTTGGATAATAAACTCAGGGAGGTATAAAAATAATTAAACCTCCCTGATAAACTTAAAACCTTTTTCTTTTTCCTTTTTTCTTTTTCTTTTTTCTTTCTTTCTTTCTTTCTATATGCATAGCGAGTTGCAAAACAGGCATGGGTTTAGGCTATAAAAAAAAAAACGTATTGGAAGACAGCTACGGTAGCTTAAAGGCATGTTTGCACTATAACGATAACGATCAACGATAAAAAGATAGAAAGTAATTGTTCATATAGAAAATAAAAGAAATATAAGAGAAGTTTTCATACTAGCACGGTTCGATAACGATTTATCGTGTATACGATAAAAGAATATTTTCACAAATCAAATCGGATGTCATAATCATAGGAAAACGATAAAATCGTAGTAGTAAAAACGATCGATTCCCACAATAGTGAAGGAAAACCCAATTACATCTCCCGCAAACTCGTCCACTCTCTTCGATTTTATAGTCACATCTTATGAAAGCTATATTATCATCCTTCCGAGTGCAGTTTCCTATATTAATTGTGTGTTCAAGTGTTTGGCCCTTTTGGGCACAATTAATTATACTGTAAAGTAGTTGGAAAATAAAAATGTACCTTTCTTGTACAAAAATTTTCAGGTGGTCTACTGCCTTGGTAGGCCTATATGTTTTTGTTAAGTGAGAGTTCTTAACGTTCATTCATTTGCATGTTTGTTAACATTGCTTTTTCCGCACTTTTCACTAATAATAGATAGCATTTCCTTTCATCGCTCACTGCCTTGGTGATTACGGGGGAGGAGTGGGATGCGTTCTCAATGCATCCTAAAGAAAGTAATGATTGCAGAATTAATTGAAATAATTACCGGTACAGATGTGAGTGAGGGCCACCTCCACAGTCGGAGGCTTAGGCCTGTATAGGCCTCAATAGGACAATTGTCGGAATTTCTAAAACTTCTATTCTCATTTTCAGCGTGTACTGAGCTAACGTTACTTTAGGCCCTGACCTGCGCTGCGCGCAATGGACGTTTCTGCTCAGCCCCGCCCTTTGAATATTCCCACAAAAAGATAGCGTGAATATGCGTAAACACGTGCTTTTGTGGGAGGAGCACGTAATCTTAGCGACTTACTGATTGGTCAGTTGTTAAGTTTGATTGACACTTTGGAAAAGGGCCCTTGTTCTAATTGCACTGTAGCATGGAAACTATTATAAAATGTATTGAGCCCCTGCATGGTAACAACCTATCACGGCTACAGTATCTAAAGCTATCCAAGTCCACGGGTCAAATGCAATTAATAATGGAATAAGTTAATTTATTACGTCATCATTACAACATCCGCATAAATTATCCGTGTAAAATGCTTTACTCGGCCCTGGGCTAAATTAGAATTGTGCACATCCGTGAATAATTTGATCAACCATTAAAGCGAGCACGATTGTGTGTTGGTATCCGCTTGTTCCCTGGATCTGATTTGTTTACTTCCTCTTCTCGGCATTGACGATTCGCATTTAAGGTCACGCGCTTATTCGAGTAACATAAAACCAGAATACAAAGCCACCTACTAAGCCAGACATCGAGGTGGATCCAGCTGTACGGTGATAAAGACGGATATTGCGCGCCTTACGATCCACGTACAATTCTAGCATTTGTAGGCTACATTCATACATGTGTATGCATTGCGATTTGTTTTAACACGGAAAGTTAAGTCGTCAAAAAGATGTGGGATGATGATTCTATAAAATGTTTACTAGGAATTTGGAATTCCCCCGATATCTATTCACAATTCGATGGCACACGAAGGAATGGAGTTGTCTACACTGTGATTACCGACCGCCTCAAAGAACATGGTTTTGAACGCACCGTGGCTCAAGTACGAACTAAAATGAAGAACATGCGACGTGAATATTTTCAGATCCGCGAGAGCATGGCGACGAATGGAACCGTGGATAGGAAAACGTGGTGGCCGTACTACGACGATATAGAAAAGATTGTCAATAAAATCAAACCTGCTGGACAAAACATGTCCATCTACTGTCGTCCCAATAGCTGCATCGATTTTGGAGAGGACTCGGATTTGACAATGAACGGAGATGATGCAGATGACGACGAGTCAGTGGAAGCAGCCTCATCTGTCATTGTGAACGGCAATTTATCATCAAGTAAAGAAAAGCGAAGTGAAGGAACAGATATAAATGGGCCATCCACCACACATACCCATCATATACTGTCAGCAGGTAATTTGTACTATTTTAATATGTTTAAATAGCTATTTTCAGTGTATATATATACTGTCTCTTATACACATCTAGATGTGTATAAGAGACAGATAAAGATGAATTCACAACGAATCCGAATTTTCGGATCCGAAGGCTTACCGAACCGACCAGAAAATTGAATCGGTATTTAAGAATAGGGATTCTGGCGTTTCGGAAACGCGGTCCAATTCGGATCCGATGTGAATGCAGCTTTGTGGTTTGAATGACATCACCGCCATTGTGTTTTATAAAAATGAAAGACAGGCAGAACGGTGTTATGACTGTCTCTTATACACATCTAGATGTGTATAAGAGACAGGATTAAGAGGAAATCATACCGACAACCATTAGTGGACTACGTTTATTTTACCAGCATGATTCATTCTGGGCGCTGGGATCCATGACAGCAGCTAAAACGATATATGAATTCCCAAGCAATCAATTTACGAAAGTAGCGCAGATACGGTATAAATTTCGAAATACAAGTATTGCAATAGTTCGTTTTAAAAGATATGGAAGGTATTCGGGTTCAGGCGTTGGCTCACATGTCATTTTCAATGAAATTTAAAATTCATAAATTTCATTGGTTTAAAATTACCAATTTGTGTTATTTCTATTTTACTGTAATTACATTACGTGGAATTCCAATTCCTAATTACTCATGTCCGTTACAAAAACAACAAAAGATACACGCAGTTCTAATAATAATGACAAAAATATTTAAAAAAAAAAATACAAATACTTAAAAAATGTACTTAAGACAAATTAAATAATAATAATGATGATGATAAAAATAATAATCCAATCAACGTCATTTTCATCATCATTATATTATATTATTTTATATTGTCATCGTCGTCTTCATCAAC